CAAAGGAAACATCTTCATGAAGAAAACCTCTTTGACATTTTCTTTATGCTTATTGTACAGAGTTCCATTTGTAAATCGAATTTTATAATCGTTCGTATTTATAATGGACAGTTGAGACTCAAAATTAACTCTGTTCACAACTCCTTTCAACTCCCTAGAATCGCGAAAATTTCTCAGTGCATTTAACAATTTCCCATTGTAAATTTCTATACTTTTCCAGATATGTTACTAGCGCTTTTTGCGCTTGTACATACAGCATCTGCTGCGGTGTCGTCGTTCAACTATGTCCCATTGGGTAGCAATCCGACATTGTATACACCCGGCTTTGAGCCGATTATGCATCTCGATCAGCACACATTCTCCGATACGGTTTTCGGCCAGGATCGCGCTTTTCTCGTCGAATTTTACGCCGACTGGTATGTGAACGTCTTTTTTTTCGTTTTTGTTCGCAGCGGATCTGCTCTTATAATCTTGCCGATTAGAAATTTCACATATGGTTTAACAAGTTTTTCCTACATAATGCGTTTCGCGGCTGTAGTACGTTTGCGATTAGTTGAAGTCGACGCCTACTGTTTGTAAATTGGAATGTTTGAAGGGGTTTACACTGTTTCGTTGCCTCATTTTGCAAATTCTGAGGTACTCGAAGCTCAAGCAATGATATTCAAGACACTCGAAGCTCATGCATTGATTTTTGGTAGTACCTGAAAATAATTTATTGAAACTTTTCAAGGGATGAGCTTTTTATATCTGAGTGTGTCTCTCCTTACCAATGGCTTATCAATCTGTAACCTGCTTGATTAGCTCTTAACCAATCTTTGATTCATGACTTGGAAAGCAAACAAACTTCTACTTAACCAAGTCGACTCTTTTGCGAACTCTGAACCTTGATTATTCGAGTTTTCGTGGTCAAACATACATTGATCTTTTGTTTTTAAGGCAATATAGGGATTACCTGGTAGTGGTAAAAAACGCTGCTTAAACAAAAGAGGCCATAGATAGATCCCATCCTCCGGGCCAACCAATATATCCCTACGGGGCACCGAATTTAGTGTTTGAGTCCTTTGGGAGGGTAGAAGCACTGTTTTGAACATTGGTTACCTCTGCGATTAATTGTATAGGCCTAAAACGCATTCAAACGCCTCTAGTGCGTAAAGAATCCACAGTTGAGAAATGATCAACACCGAGAACTTCATCTTACACTTTTCATATGATAAATTTTGGGAGCACAGATAAATGGCGCAAAAAAAATTTTTTTTACAAAAAACAAAGGAGGCACCAAACACAGCTTAAAGTGTATAATAAATGTCAATCAGAGAATTAGCCTATGATTAGTGTATTTGCACAGTATACATTAAGTCGAGGAAAGAAGACGCCAAACTACTTTAATTATGGATTGAGTGTCAAGCGCTATGGCCTACGACTATCAAAGTGTTTTAGATGTGCTATGATAATGATATGCTAAATTATAAAAAAGAATCAAAAATCTTGAAACTCAAACGGTCAGCCCTCCTATTATCTTCCCACCTTTCCCTTATCTTTTTTGTCAGAGCCATCAAATGTTTTTGGCAGATCTTGCAAGATACAAATTGGGGAAATAAAAGTGGTAGGAAAAAAGGGGAGGGGCAGGACGATGACAAAAATAGTTAAAAGCTAAAAAGTTACCTGTTATAAACTACGTGTGCCCCCGTCTTTAATTAATCAGTATTCTATATTGCAGGTGCGGCCATTGCCGAGCGTTCGCGCCACACTTCCGAGAGTTCGCAGGTCTCGTGAAGGAATGGAATCCAGTTGTGAGCGTTGCTGTCATCAACTGTGCTGATGCATTCAATGCCCAAATATGTCGTGACAATGGTATCTCCTATTATCCTATGCTTAAGGTGGGCTTTTCGGCATATTTTGGTAAGCTTGAAATAATTGCGCTTTTTACCAAAAAAATGACATTAAATTACTAAAAATCGTCTTGTACCTTAATTTAGCCCAGTTTAGATGCCCCCTTCTTAATTATATGTACTCCTAACATCCTGCTCTTCTCGTCCTTTTCGCAGTTTGCAAAAACCGTGCAATGTTTGCAAAACGCTCTCAGTAACTTGCCGGTCAATAGTAGATGATATGTCCGTTGCGTCCCGTGTACGTGAAGAGTATTCTCGGAAGAACACGCCGAACACAAATAGAGTCTGCCGAAAAATGCAAATAATCGCACATATCTGCCTCAAAGTTGGCTAAAAATGTGTAAAATGTAAAGGATGGAGGAAATGAAGCTTGTAGAGGCATGTCGTAACTACATCTTGGCAAAACTCCTACATTTCTATATACAGTACTTCCCTCGTACGGCCCGAGCAGCAAGTCAAGCTAGGAGTATGGACACACCGCATTCATCTGAAGCAATGAGAGACGCACTGATGAGGATGATCGCCAATGA